TTCCAGCTGAGAAAACTGGAGAAATGTGCTTACAGTTAGAAAAACAAAGAGGAACCCCATTTTGCCTTCTGTTGACCCCCACATCCGTCAGTGTGCTTTGTGAGATACCAAAGATAATCCTCCATTGTTGATGTATGTCTAGATCCTAGGAAGCTAGCTCTTCTGTGTTCAGAAATCTTGCCCAGACTGTTAACCAGTTAACAATCAAAATTTATTGACAATTTTGTAGGATACTTTCAAAGTGGGCTGAATTAAAACAAGTAAATGAACAAATTTTAGTGCTATAATGTGTAGTTTAGAAGCCAAACCAGAAACACTATGAGGCAATCTCCAGATGCCAGCCTGCCTCTAAATATGGTTGCAGGATAGAAAGATGCCTCAGCCTCCCACTTGTGAACACACCAGGGGGTTCCCATTTGCCCATGTGAGAAACAGAATGGGAGACTACCATGGGCTGTGTGGTCTGATCCAAGAGAGGACTTATTACATGATTGGGTGGGTCCTACCCAGTGGTGGGGTTGAAATTTTTTTACTACCGGTTCTGCGGGTGTGGCTTGGTGGGTGTGGCTTGGTGGGCGTGGCAGGGGAAAGATACTGTAAAATCTCCAGTCAGAGGTGGTAGTTGCCGGTTCTCCGAACTACTCAAAATTTCTGCTACCGGTTCTTCAGAACTGGTCAGAACCTACTGAACACCTCTGGTCCTACCACATTACACTCCAATCTATATTTCTACTAATTGGTCCTGCTTACTGGGAATATAGTATTTGCACTCATTTTCTGAGGGGAAAACATACATTCTTGAAATATCAACTCTTCATGTTTGCTATTCAACTCGGTTAATTGGACTGCAAATCAACCAAAGCTATTCACAAGATCTATTGCCCTGTGCAACGCCACAAATGGAACTGCCAAGTCTACGTGTCTATGCTACATATTTACAGATTTGTTCCCTTCCACAATCAATCCTCCCTTCAAATATACCTTAACCTCTCCCTCCCTCCTTCTCTCTCTCATCTTTGCCCCGTTTATATTTATATGTGCTTAGAAATTCCTTTGGGGCAGGGTTCCTCTTTTAACATTTAGATGCCTTTGTTTTGAGTGGCCTTGTTCAGTGTCCCACCTGATAGGTATTCCATCTATAGCACATCTTAACCTGGAAAGGAATCTTTCCTCCTTTAAATCCTTGCAAACTGGGAAATAAGCTTGTGTATATAATTTATCTACCTCAAAGACTGCTCCTCCAAGTGTATGAGGTACCTGCATTTGTCTAAAATCACAGAAAAGATTTTGTTTTTGTATCATTGTCATGCCACTAAAACTGATTGCAAACTTAGGAAACAAAAATAGAATGTAATATGTCCTTTGGACTGGAGGAATCACACACATATACAAAAACACAATCCAACATATTGGTGGCCCTTGTCCTGTTCCTTTTTTTTCCTTCCTGCGACTCTTCCTCCTTCCTTCCTTCCTTCCTTTTCTGTGCAATTGAAATAATATTTAATAAAATTCTGTGCAATTGAAATAATATCCCCCCCCCCACAAGCACAAGCTAGGAGGCAGGAGGCAAATGGTATTTGTGATGACACAGCCATACAACTGCTGCGACTTACAACTTTGTGTCAGATACCATGTCACTGACTCTGTAATGGTGTGTCATTTGCATACTGATGTCATCATCTGCAGGTTTTCCCACCTCCCCTTTAGGTATTTTTGGCACTGCTGCCTGCAGAGGAAAAGAGGGCAGGACTGGAACTCTGCCTGCTTTTCCTTCATTATGATTTCTATGGTTCCGATTTAAAAAAATAAATGTGATTGGGCACCAAGTATATAGAATTTGAGGTGCTGCTTGGCTCTGAATCCGCACTGAGTGATCCAGCCATACTCCTGTGGGGAGGGCTGGATATCCCGATCAGTTCTCCTCCCTGCAGAACTGCTGCTTCTCCAGCTAGATCTGCTAATGTGACTTCTTTCGACCTTGCCTGATTTCCTTCTCATTCTTGTGGGTCTTCCTTCCTTTGAAGGAAACCAGGCAGAAGTGGTTTTGCTTCCCCATCTCTGGTTGGGATGCGATTCTAGCCAAGAAGGAAAGTGCAGACTTACTGCCCTTATCCGGTGGCTCAGGTGGGAGGAGTGGGGGCGGGAGGGTTAAATCCTTGGCCATTTTGGCTGGGAATGCCTCTGCCTCTTTTGCCCCACAAAATCTCTGCCTCAACAGGGAACACGGAAATGACCAGCAAACAAATTGGCTGAAGTGCTTAGACCAATGACCAGGCTGGGTTTGCTTTTCATGCTAAGCCATCATCACATGACCACAACAACCATGACCTGGATGACGGAGAATCTCCATAGACCATTATCACATGGTTTTCTTGCTTGTTTGTGATGCATAGGCTGTTGGGTGAACTCAGCCACTCGATGTGGTTATAAACCTTATGGCTCCAGTTGATGAGTGTAACCCAGTCTTTTTATGGGACACTCAACAAGCTATGGTTGAACAAAATTTACCTCTGTGGCTCTCTATGGGGAGGGCAGAGAGGATGAACTTAATCTGGCAGGTTTTTTTCCTAAAGTCTCCATATTATGTCTTTATTTTATGGCCATGATAAACTATCTTCCTCCACGTACTTCATTCCTATTAATCAAAACAGAAAGGGATTATTCAGAAATTTAACTACTAAGAAAACAGACAGGGTGTCCATGGAGATTCTCAGTCATCCAAGTCATGGTTGTCCCAAAGGTGCTTTTTCAAGAGGCAACTGGACTTTCTTGTTTTTTTCTTTGAAGACATTTCGCTTCCCATCCTAGAAGCCGAAGAATCCAAGAAGCTGAAGAAGCTTCTTGGATGAGAAGCAAAACGTCTTCAAAGAAAAACCATAAAGTCCAGTGCCACTTGTAAAAGTGCCACTTGTAAAAGGGAAAACAGACAGGGTGTGTCCACATTCTGTGTGCCAGAAACTACAGAATGACTGATACTGTTTTATGATGAAGCCCTGTCCATTTTGTACATGCCTCCATCATAATACATCCATCAAATGCATAACATTCTTTTTCAGTCAGTACAACACAGGGCTTGTGTTGTTGAGATAGGCAGTCGTAGAAATGGACATAAATAAAATATGAGTTAAATAATGTGTGAACTCTGCCAATATAAGGCACTTTTCCCCATCAAGAGTCTGGTATTCCTTGAAAGACAATTGGGAATGAAAATGAGGCACACAAAAAGAACAAACTGGAGAAACTTCTTCACATTGGTGACAGGAAATGAAGATTTCTAAGGAAATTCCTCACATTCCAGATACTCTACAGGCAGTGAAGAGATTGGACAAAAGAGAGAAGCCTTACAGTGGGCAAATTCAGTAGCTCCTCCAATCCTTTCCTGGGCTGGAGCAAAGATCAACTCCCACCCTTTCTCTGTGTGGTAAATGACTCTGTGCATATGGATGCATGTGTGTTTATGCAAATAGTCCAATGGAATCTCATCTGTACTCAGACTTCAATTTAGAGCAGAGTACAAACTGACAATATTTACCTAAACTTACAAGAGTTAATGATGGCTGTGGAATATCCCAGTATTCGGTTTAGACTGTCATAACAAGAACTTGTGCCATTTTTTTCTTCTTCTCATGATCGGTAATGTGATCCTATGCATACTTGCAGAAATAAAGCTTGATCGTTCCTAAGTCCCAAAGTTATGCAGATAAGAACCAGAGCTGGAATACACATTGCCAAAGCAAGGACCGGGTTCCAAAATTCGTCTCCCGATCTTTGTTTAACATCTTTGAAGAATATTCTACACAGAACACCTCCAGAAATGCTTATGCCATCACACACCTGGAGACACCATCAAGAGCCACATGACATGTTAAGAACAAGCCATATAAGCATGTGAGGGCAAGTTGCAGTGGCCTGATTTGTACTTCCGTGAGCAACGATCCCAGTCATTGTCTTTTTATGGGTCAGTATGTCACGTAAACCAGAAACCGAGTTCATTTCCTGACCTGACCACAAGCAATCTAAGATTTAATCAATTAATGCCCCTTTTGTGTTTCCAGGACAGGTGGGGCTTGTGCTGCTGAGAACGGATAGGTAATCCTGGACTTCTGATCACAATTGAGACCAGAATCTTCATTGCCAGGAAAGTCAGTTGTTAAGTGATACCCCATTTAACAATTGTTTTGTCATGGGCAAGGCCAATCACTGCAATTAAGTAATCATGTGATTGTTTTTTTAAAATAAAATTTTATTTCAGTTTTCCACATATTAAAAACATCTTTTTTTAGTGAACAGCATGATTCCAGGTTATCACATTTCCATACAAACATGACTTTAATTTCATACTCATCTTTCATATTTAATTTCATCTTACCATTACTTTACATATTTTCTATTATTTTTGTCAGATACGTTCCTCCAGCTTATTTTATATATTTTTTCAATTCATTACTTAACCTATTTTCTTAAACTTTAAATAACTCTCATATCTTTATATTCATTGTACTTTATGCTTTTATCTGCCAAGTTTCCAATTTCATCCCATATTCTTATTTCATCATTCCAAAAATTCCATCTCAATTCAAACATTTCAAAAAAGTTTCCCCCACAATTACCAATTAGAGTGTGCCACCCCTACAGCTTATATATCATCTAATTAATCCCCCTTTAAATCCCAACAATTATTTAACTAAAAAATTAATAACAATAATCTTCTAACAATTACATTGCATATATACCTTTTAAGTCAAATTCCACAAGTTTCCCCTTTAATTACATAAAAAAATAATTATGATTTCAAAAAGAAAAATTAATTCATCATAAAGACTGATAATTATTCTCTTTAATCATATGATTGCTAAGGGAATCCAGCTTACCCATTGACTTTGCTCATTGGAAGCTATCTGGCAACAGAGGTGGTAATTCAGCAAGTTCTGACCAGTTCTGGAGAACTGGTAGCAGAAATTTTGAATAGTTCGGAAAACCGGCAAATCCCACCTCTGACTGGAGATTTTACAGTATCCTTCCCCTGCCACACCCACCAAGCCACACCCACAGAACTGGTAGTAAAAAATTCTGAATCCCACCACTGGGAAGGTTGCTAATGATGGTCACATGACCCTGGGAGATTGAATAAATACATACCGGGCTGCCAAGTGCCCAAATTTTGATCATATGACTATGGGACAACTGACTGTAGTAAATCACTTTTTTCAGTGCCACTGTAATTTTGAACGGTCGTTAACGAATGGTTGTTCAGTTGAGAACTACTTGTACAGTGAAGATTGATTTTCAGGGTTTTTTTCCCCCCATGTCTGCAAAGTCAACAGTTGGTTAATAGTCAGAACTCTCACTTTGTCCCCTCTCCTTACCATGTTTTTGTGGCTTTCTAGCTACTCTGAGAAATGGCTTTGTTGGTTCTCTTGTTATATAAAAAGTACTCTGGAAGAGGAATCCATAGGATGTGATCAGGGGTGGGATATGACAAGGTTAACTACCAGTTCGGGATTTACGAGCTTCCCTACACTCTGGGAGCCATGCGCCTGTAAATCGTCATCAGCATGCTGTGTGCAGAGATGCAGCCTTTGAAACAGCCCTCTTTTCCTGCTTTTTTAACTGCAGCTATGCCTCGTTCGGCAGCTGAAGTTGAAAAATCAGGAAATAAAGATCAGGTAAGAGCCTGGGTGGGTGGGTGGGCAAAAACATCAGCAGACATAGAACTGGTTCTATGTCTGTTGCTCTTCAGAGCTACCAGTTCTACAGAGGTGGACAGAACCGGTAGAAACCCACCCCTGGATGTGATAAAAAAAGCCAGGGTGGTGGAAATTAAAGCAACATGTTTTTAATGTGCATCGTAAAAAATATGTCGCATTTTGACTGCACCAATGCAGCCATCTTGAGTAGGAGGAAGCTTCCTCCTTTCTGGCCAATCACATCATTGCAAAAAGGCTGCAGGTCAGGGGTGTCCAACCTTGGCGACTTTTAAGACTTGTGGACTTCGACTTCCAGAATTCTAGAGCTAGCCATGCCGGCTGGGTAATTCTGGGAGTTGAAGTCTACAAGTCTTAAAATTGCCAAGGATGGACACCTCTGTTCTAGATGGTTTGGGGAAGGCAAAGCTTCCTGGGTGAATCAGGGATATCTCTTGTGGACCCAGCCAGCCTCCGAGGAGGGCATCACTCAAGACGCAAGTTAGCTGCTGACCGAACTGGGAAAGGGCCCTATTACACAGAGAATTGCAACTCTTCTTGTTGCTTAAAAAGCATACCTCTGTATCTTTATATGTAAACTTTATGTGTAAACAATTTCAGTTTATGCCTCAAAAGTACACCTGTGTTTATCCCTAGATATGTGAGCCAACAAATTCAGTGAGCGAGTTGCAGCTCACCCAACTATCCTTTAGCAGCTCAGTATTTGTTACTGAAATGTGTGCTCTGGTATCTAATTTAACACAGAAACGCTGTCCCAACTGCTGCCATCTGTTTTTAAAAGAGGGGAGGTTGGAATTTTAAACCTGTTTCTCTTTTGGGTCCTGCCCCTGCCCTGTTTTGAATAATCTCTCCTTCTCCATTGCCCCAGCCCCAGTATAAGGCCTTGAGCAGGGGGGGTTGGGCTAGAAAATCTCTTCCAGCCTTAAGATTCTATCTAGTTACAGCCCCTCCTGAGAAAACATGCCCCACCTTCCTAAGATGGTTCTACACTTGCCCCAACTATGTGACACAGTCTAGCAAGCTCTTTTTATTTTTTATTTTTCCCCTATTCTGTCCCCAGGATATCGCTGTCAGACATTGGCATTAAGTAACACTATCTTCCTTGTTCCGATGCCTTTCAAGGCCAGCCTCCAGGTGTGTAAAATCTATTCAGCTTTGTCACCTTTTAGCTTGGAGGAGAGCCAGGAGACTGGCAGTGGTTGGAAAAAGATGTAATAAGAGGCCGACTTGGCAATGGCACAAGCCATGTTACGTACGTCAGTGGCTTTCTGGTGGGTCAAAGACAGACAGGTATTCAAACCTCGGAGGAAAGGCCCTTAGATGGGCACATTTCTTAACTGCCAAACCAATGCACGGTGCTAAAAAGCCAGGTGAATACCTGCAGACCAATTTGTTTTATTCCCTTAAGCCCTCTTGCCATTTCTGTCACCCAACAAGGTCAACCATGAGCACTGACAACTCTTCCTTAGTAAATCATGAATTTTCTGGAAGGTTGGTGAATTACTCTTATTAAGGGAAGTTTGCTCTTCTGGAACAATGACCCATCAGGGACTAGCCAACACTTGGAAATTCCCTCTGAAAAGGATACTCAGGCCTTCTCACCAGAATCCCAAACTGGTAATATTTGCAGGAATGTCTGACAAATTCTCTGCTTGTTTCGGGGAACCCATCTTGACAAAGGAAGCAAAGATTCCCACAAGGAAGCTTCCACGTCTCCCCATCAGACCTGTGGCAGCGTGGGTGGGGGAACAAACTCCACGGCTCCACATTTCCTTCCTGGCTGCTATTTTTTCAGTTTTTCCCGGAACGCCATCACTCTGCTAAACAAATAATTACCTCAACACTGTCCAACTAAGTCTGCATTACTATAACTATTAATCCTTCCATCCTTCCTTTCATTCATCTCCTCCCACTTATGACTGGATGACTGTAACTTTGTATATTGACTGTTTTCCTAGCATGATTTGATTGCTGATTGTACCCTATGACTATCATTAAGTGTTATGATTCTTGACTCTTGACGAATGTATCTTTTCTTTTATGTACACTGAGAGCATTTACACCAAGACAAAATTCCTTGGGTGTCCAATCACACTTGGCCAATAAAGAATTCTATTTCTACAGGAGCAGGCCAGGGTCGCTCCGAAAAACGACTCCATCCCTGGAGACAAGCGGAGGATCAATCGATTCTAAATCCTGCCCCCACCTCACAAATCAGGCTAGGCGGAAAGGCCCAGCGGATCCAGCCACAACTTCCCACGAGCGCCGCCGGCCCGCAGAAGGGGCTTTTTTTTTTTTGGGGGGGGGGGGGGGGGGGGGGGGGGGGGGGCAAGGAAAGGCAAATCGTCCAGAGTTTGGAAAGTCCGCTGGGGTGGGGGTGGGGGCGCAGATCTAAGATGAAAACCAAACCCCGCCGCCTTTCCCTCCCCCCCCGCCCCCCATTTCGCGCCCAGAGCGATCCCACATGTGTGGCGGCCTGGATGGGTGTGTGTGTGTGTGGGGGGGACCCTGCCTGTTGGAGAGCGGCGGCAAAACGTCGCTTCGTTCCCGAGAACGCCGCTGGTGGCTGTCCCGGGCGGCCGCGGGAGCCATTGCCCTTTTAAGGGGTAGCTTGAAACCGCGCCTGGGCTCCATGTTTGTATCAGAACCCGTGAAGAGGGAACTCCATGTTGTAACAAAGTTTCCTTCGCCGCCGTCTTTTTTTTTTCTCCCCCTCCCCCCTTTTGTTTTGTTTTGCTTTTCCCTTTCCCCCATCTCCCCCCGCCCCTCCCCCACCCTCTCACTTCCCCTCTTCCGTTTTCTTTCCTTTTATTTATTAGTTTCTTCCTTCCTTCCTCCCCCCCCTTCTTCTTTCGTTCCGTTCTGTTCCGCTGCTGCCGCCTCGGTTGTTGTTGTTTTTTTAAAGAAAACAACCGGTGGAAGGACGGGGGGGGGGCAGGCGGAGGAAATAATAATAATAATATATACAGATATATATATCTGTGCGAAGTCCCGGAAAAATTCCCCGAAGCGGCGACGGCGGCAGAGGAGGAGGAGGAGGAGAGACAATCGGAGGCGGGAGGAGAGCGCTCTGCGCGTCTGGTCTAATGGACAGCGGACCCATCATCACCCAGGTTAGCAAGGAAGAGGTGAACAGTCCTCTGCAGGAGAAAGGTAAGCATTTTTAACATCTCCCCCCCCTCCTCTTCCTCCTCCTCCTCCTCCTCCTCCCACGCGGGGCATCGGCGCGGGTGCTTTGGGGATCGCGCCTGCCTGCACTCCTTCGGGTGAAATGCCTGGTGGGAGGGGGGGGGGGGGGGCTCTCTCTCTACAGGTCGCCCAAAGCGGAGCTGCAGAAGCCCGGCGGCCTTCTCGGGTTTGACAGATCGCCTTCACCCCCCCCCCCCCCGCCCCACGGCCCGGAGGAGAGAAGCGCTGGGTCGCCCTGCGCGCTTTCGGTGCCAACGGCTCGGACCGGGGGAGGGGCGCTTGCTGACTTTCCCCCCCCCCAAAGGGCCTCCGGAGTCACTCCGATTTGAGATTCCGGTGGGAAAACCGAAGGGGACGGGGGGGGGTGAGGGGAAAGCGGCGGACGGAATGTCTTAACACGCGTGTTTCTTCTGGGCTCGGAGATGCTCCCCGACTCCCTCCCACAACGTCGAAGCCGCGTCCCGCGAATTCCAGCCCTTCCCTAACGCGGGGGTTGGGGAGGGGAGGGCGGGCAGAGCCATCTTCAACCCGGGGCCCGCGGGTGGTTACACAGTTGCATGCCGTGCGCCCGTGAGTGGGGCAAGGGCGGTGGGAGCTGCAGCCTCACGCATCCGGAGGAAGCAAAGTTGGAAGGGTGGGGGTAAGCCCGCTCGGGACCCATCCCGTCCTCTGGACAGCAGGGCGCCGAGACCATCAGCGCAATCGCTTGGCGCACGTGTGCGTGCATTTTCTCGAGGCACGGTTGCGAAGTCCGCGCACGCTTTCCAAACCTAACCGTGCTCGCTTCTGTCGGGAGCTGCCGCAAAAGGCCTCGTTTTGCCATAGCGTAGCAGATCGCTTGATACCTCGTACCTGGGGAGAGGGGAAGGGCCTTGGGTGCGTATTTAGGGTCTTTGGGCGCCTCTGTTGCCCCCCCACCCACTCCAGCTCCTTTGCCTCGAATATTATGGCAGAAGTCCAGCAACAGGTTTTATTCAGAGCTCTCAAGACAGCCTTGCTTTCCTCAACCTGGTGGGTTCCAGGGATCGGATTACCATTCCCATGTTCTTGGCAGAATGGGAGCTGTAGTCTGAGCCATCTGGAGTGGGCCAGAGTGAGATAGATTAATGCAAAAAAACCGGCATCCTGTTGCATGCCCTCCCCACCCCCATATCCTGGATGCCCCTCCCCATCCAACCGTCTGTCTGTCAGTCACTGTTTTTCCAAAGGGTGAGAGAACTGGAGAGGGAGAGAACTGGGCCATTTGCAGTGGAGGTACCTTTTCCAGATGTTTCCAGCTGTGCGTTTCCGCTGTTGCTGCTTTGGAGGGATGGAAAGTAAGGACGGGAGGGTGGAGATGGGTTTTTTTTAATTGGGGATGGACAAAATCTCCTAGCAGAGACTGGGCGCTGCATACCAGCCAGTTTTGTGCCAGGTATTAGTAAATCAACCAGAAGGCTCCTCTGTTGGACAGAAGCCAGAGGCACTGAACGGGGTGTTTTTATTGATGTCTCAGGATTGATCTCTTAACTTGCAGAAATCCAGAGTCTCCCTGAGCGGTAGGAAGGACAGCATTTTCTCAATCTTTTGGCATATCGCCTCCTACCCACTTTTCCTTCCCATATGGCTCATTTGCAGCGCCTAGATAGGAGCCCCTCTGATGTTCCGACAGAAACGTCCCATTGCTATCGTCCCTGTTTTGAATCGTGAACAGAGGTCTACCAGTGGCAATCTTAACAACAGCAACCACAAGAGGGGTGGGAGGAAAGAGAGAGAGAGTGTGACCCGTGTCTTTACGACTCTTCTAGACTTTCTACACCACTTCCTGGTGAACATTGAGGAAGGAGCTGGTTAGCAAGAAATCTGAGGCTGCCTTCATTAAAGTAATTCAGACCTCTTGCCCATCCGATGCTTTGACCGTGAGGCAAAAGGTGGTTCTTCACTGCTGGGCAGGCCGGACTTGTGAATGGAGGCATCCCTGGTCATTTGCAGCAATCTGGGGGAACGTAGCTGTTTGGTTCTTCCGTCTGATTTCCACCATTTGAGCCTGGATATGTCAAGCCAATAAAGAGGGAGGTGCAGAACCACTAAGGAGGATGGGGGAAATGGAAAATGGATTTCCTTCTGACCACAGTTCATCTGAGCCAGAGGATGCCATGGTTGAGCCAGGAAGACCACAGGGGTCTTGGAAGACAGTGCCAAGCTTTCTTAATATATGTCATAGGAAGGAGTCTTTCACTGGACTATGATAAAATAATGCTTGGTAGAGAGGCAATTCAAGGTTAGAGTCTAGGAGAAAGTATCAGGGCTGTTGTAAGCAGTGAGCAAAGACGTTTGCGCTAATTCTACTCTAGCAACTCAAGAAATCCCACCAGTCTACTTGAAAGTAGTTATACATCTGTTTCTTTGCTATTCATCTGAGTAAGCGAACCCAACCGGAGGCTTGTTGGGCTGCCAAATATGGCCGACAGGCTGTCTGCCTTCAGGAGCCCCATGTGGAATTAGGCCACGTATGTAAGACCTCATAATGACTCGGCGTGGTTGAAGAGTTTGCACCTCTCAGTGGACCACCAAGAAGCTGCCTTATGCTGCAATGAGCTACCACAGAAGGAATGTTGTCTATAATTAGACAATATGGACACGGTTAACTTCAGACCAACAATCAAGTAAGCAATACCCCAATCAAGACACTGCCAAAGAGCCATCAGTAAACAGCCCAACCAAAGAATCTCTAAGACACCCCCCACCCACCCACCCACACAGACAGGCAAGACACCAGAATATAAACTGAACGGCAAACAGCACTCATTACTCCCTAGCACTGATGTTGTTACCTAGTTTGGGTAATGAAACGCCTGCAAGAAAAGAAGCAAGCTCAGAGAGCACCAAGGATGCTTCACTGTCTATAATTATTGTTAATGAACTTTCAGGGCTCCTGGTTTCAGTTTTCCATCCTGCCTGAAGTCCTTGAAAGTTCATCCTTGAAAGCACAGAGAATCCAAGGTCTTTCTCCCATGCCAGGGAAGAGCCTTGGAACAATAATAAAACAGTAAGCTAGAAAAGGCAGAAATACAGGCAGAAAATAACCTGCAGGGATGCAGAAACTTAAGTTTTAAACATTTGGCAATTTTTATTTATTTGTTTGTTTGTTTGCTTGTTCACTCACTGACTCACTTACTTTGCACACTACCCATCTTGCCTAAGTGACTCTGGGCAGTTTACAGGAAGTCCTTGATTTAAAAACCATTCATTTAGTGACTGTTCAACGTTACAACGGCACTGGAAAAAGTGAATCATGACCGATTTGCAGACTTAATTACAACCATTGCAGGCACACACACACCCCTCCCCGGGTCACATGATAAAAATTAAGATGCTTGGCAACCGGCATGTATTTATGGGGGTTGCAGGATCCTGGGGTCATGGGTTCATCTTTTGCAACTTTCTGACAAGCAAAGCCAATGTGGAAGCCAGATTCACTCAACAAGCATGTTACTAGCTTTAACAACTGCAGTGATTCACTTAACAACGGTGGCAGGAAATGTTGTAAAATGGGGACAAAACTCACTTAACAATTGTCTTGCTTAGCCATGGAAAATTTGGGCTCCGTTGTGGTCGTAAGTCAAGGATAACCTGTGCAATACCACCATAAAAGTTAACAGTAGAAAGGTTAACAAGGCAATGGAAAGCTGTTTTGGAAAGCAGAGTATGTTATGGAAAGCAGAGTAGACAGTAGGGTAGGAGATATAGAGGCATAGCCAGCCACACCAACAGGCTGAAGAACATCTTCTACCTGTGGGCTGTCAGACTTCTGAATGGAAAATAACTTCATTTCAACATAGTATGATAGACTTGCGGGGCTGGCACATTGTACACATGTTATACTCGTGACAATAAAGGCAATAATAATAACACTGCAGATTTGAAAGACAGCCTAATATAGGGAAATTTAAAATCCCAGCCCTTAGAGAAAAGAGCCTTCAAAACAGAACTTAGGGAAAAGATTCAGGGACTTTCCGTGACAGGTGATTCCCACGTAGGACTACTGAGACAGGATTCACACATAATATTAAGTGGGGTCCTTAGTGAGCTTGGTTATTTGACTTATAATATTAAATTTTAGTCAGTTTCCCACCCCCCTCATAACGCTGAACCTTTATGGTTGTGGTTGCAGTTCATGCTAAGCCAGAAACAAGTGATTCGCATCATGGCTTATTGCTGTACTGTGTCCATTAGGTGCACTGGGATGGCAGACGATGGGGAAATGTGGCAAATGCCTTTGTTCATTCCTCTTCCCTTCAAATGCTCCCCTGAAATAGGCCTGCAGGTTCTATTTTTAATAAGGGAATGTTTCCAGACGTGAATCGAATATATCCAGGCTGCTTGGAGGAGGTAGGTGTTGAATAGGAGTTCATCTGGTTAAATATTGTTTCCTCTGAAAATTGTCCTAAGTGTATGAAGCCTTAATCTATAAGGTTTACTTTGTTCTTCACAATACTTTATGGATTATAGTGAGAAAAGGCTCATGTTTAAAACTCCCTATTTCATCTCTTTTGGCAGGATAACTATATCAGGGTGAAAAGAAATTGAATTCTAGCTCCCTTTCTCTATTTTGAATGGTACTTAATCATTCTTCTCAAGCCTGTTGTGATAATTCCTTCTATAAGTTGAACACATTCAATTCCCATGGCATTTCACTGTGGAGAGAATTTACAAGCTCTTATATAATAGAAATTGTAATAGTTCTTCACAGTATCTATCCCAAAGTTTTGTTTTATAATTATAATTTACATATAATTATTTCTGTATTTATTTTTATCCCATTGTTATTTTATTAATAACTCTAGGCCACAAACATACTGTATCTAATACTCCTTCAAACAGTAGTTAGAATACAGTACTGCAAACTACTTCTGCTGACTGCCAGCTACCAGCAGTTTGGCAGTTCAAATCTCACCAGGCTCAGGGTTGATTCAGCCTTCCATCCTTCTGAGATTAGTAAAATGAGGATCTAGATTTATTAGGAACAATATGCTGACTGTAAACAGCTTAGAGACGGCTGTAAAGAACTGTGAAGCGGTATATAAGTCTTAAGTGCTACTGCTATTCCTCTTCCTCTTCCTCTTTTCCTCACAACAACAGCCCTGTGAGGTAGGTTGGGTGGAGGGAGAGTCTTTGGCTGGCCCAATGATTCTATAATATTTATTATATTTACAATTCATAATAATTACGCTAAGTTTTTAATTTATAAATATCATTTATAATTTACAATAAAAATATTTTATTCTGCTATTATGTCAGTTGCATAAAAAGGCTCAACCTGGGATGGAGCTGGGAATTGGGAAGTCTCTGATTCAAATGATACAACTTCATCAGGAAAGTTTCCTTCTGGAACCCCTCTCTTAGTTAACCCATTTGCAATATGGAAGATCATAATAATGGTGCACCTCTAAAGTTAATTGCAAGGATAGCAAATGCAAGTGAAGCAATAATAGCAAATGCAAGTGAAGTCATTTTTACAGGTGAATGTGCCATGCTAGGATAATTGACAATTGTATTACTTTAATAAATTAAAATAAAGGCAGGATACTGTAAACAGTCCATCTCCTTTATAAGTTAACATTCAACAGAGAAATGTGTTGCTTTTCTTAAAAATATGATTGAAGGCTAAAAATAAAAAAAAAAGATCCCACTTGATTACACAAGCTGGTTTTGTTTTTGCTATTTTGTAAGAAGTAGGAGTTAAAAGTCCCACACTTACTAAAATCTCCATAGGAAAGTGCCTCTTCATAAACAATAAATGAGTTTAAGGGGCAGCACAGTTCAGTCAAAGCTTTAGACTTAGACTGACTTGCTTCAGTTGTAATTTGGCTTTGGTTTGAGCTACAGAAGTCACAGCTATTGTGTATGCCTGACTCCCAAGCACACAGTTTGTGACCGTTCCCCCATCAAGACTGCACCTCCCCCCCAAAAGGGCAACATTTTCATCAATTTCAGTGGTCTTTGGGGCACAGTTAAAGTGTGGCTGGAAATAGCAATAGCACTTAGACTTATATATACTGCTTCTTAATGCTTTGCAGCACTCTCTAGGTAGTTTACAGAGTCAGCATATTGCCCCCAACAATTTTGGGTCCTCGTTTTACCCACTTCGGAAGGAATGGAAGCCTGAGTGAACCTTGAGCCGGTCAGGATCAAACTCCAGGCTGTGGGCGGAGTTAGTCTGCAATGCTGCATTTTAACCACTGCGCCATCATGGCATGCTGCAATGGGAGGCATGAAAGCCCCTTGAAAAGAAATATTTGAATGTGTTCAACTGGTTGTATTGGGACTGAAAACTCTCATCGGTTGCTTGGCCCATATTTTTTTAGATTTGGGAGGAGGCTTTGCGTGGGAATGAAAGTTGATTGCTCCCTGAAGGCTAAACTAAATGGACATTTGTCCCTACCCTTTGCTGGCCTCCTCTGCCTTCTGAGAGGGTGGGAAGTTGGCCCACCCTTCAGTCATGGCTCACCTGGCTTAAGGTGGAGGGCAGACCCATCCATTGTATTATACATAAATCAGACCACTACAGTTCGTTCTGTGTGCATAAATAAACCCTGGCTGTGTGTTAAATGAAAATGCAGTCTTTATCTAAGAAAGGTAGGGCACTATTATATCTTGCATATATTTGTGGGATAGGGTGAAACGAAGACTTTCAAATCCCATAAGCCTTACCTAACACCGTTTGCAGTAAGGGATGATGGAAGCTGCAGCTCAAGTACATCTGGAAAACAGCATGTTACCCTTCCCCCTGGCATGAGGCCATGTAGTGACTTCACAGCTGAAGTAAGATTTCTTGGACTTTCTAGCCACTGCAGCCTCTCCTCCTTTAATTTATTGTTGATTTATTTGTTTTACGGTTATTTTTTTTTACAGCCTGGCCCCTAATCCCAAAGCTCTTGGCAGGTTAGAACACATTAAAAATATTAAAAACAACAGCAATAAAAATAAATCCGGCCCCCACCTTCCCCAAGATAGATGCCAATAATAACACTTAAGTAATCTTCAGGGCTTGGTGAAATAAAACTGTCTTCAATGATCTTCTAAAGGCGGTGAGAGAAAGAGTAAAAATGTGAGCAAAATCATTGTAGCAGCAGTCCAGGGAGAAAGGGAGTTGTCGGGAGTCTCAGGTAGCATATATATTGAATGGATTCAATTAAAAGGACAGCTCCTGTGTCAATCTTATTGCAGCTCCTTCTAGGTCTTGGCAGCTAAGGAGATCTGTCCAGAGCTTCTGTTGGAGGGTCGAAGCAGAAGCTGAAACTGAACTGAAGAAGCTGCTTGGATGAGAAGCGAAATGTCTTCAAAGAAACACCAGAAGGTCCAGTTGCCTCTTGGGGGAAAAAAGCACCTTTGGGACAACTGTGACCTAGATGACTGAGAATCTCCATAGACATCTCAGATTTAATCTCACCCCAGTGCAAATATAAAAAACTAGTACATCCTTTCCTCCCATTCCCATATAGAATACAGGGAGTAAGTGAATACTAACTTGCCTTAGAGGGCTGCTTGTAAATCTTACAGAAAACAACAATCAAAATAAAATATACTCTTTAAAGTATGATTAATATCAGTGAAATGTGGTGAGTTAGAGCCCGCCAGGAAGCTTATTGGGTGATTTTAAAGTAAACCATTGATTGGGCTGAAACATTATCCTAACAGTTTATTTAACCATGGTTTGTGAAATGAATCAGAGTGGCCTTATTCATACAGAACATCCCCACGATGTATACCATGGTTCATTCAGCACCACGGCAGCATACACACATTTGTGGCAAGTCAAAACCAATCAAATCTTGCTATAGTTTTGTATAAAATAGGAACATAGGCATGTTTAATCAGTGCCACTTAACTGCCCAATCATATTTTTCCTTGGTGATAGAAGCAGGAGAAGCATCAAGTTGCTTTCTTCTTGAGATTAGCTGTCATTTGTTGTGATGGGAGTGTGCTGTGTTTGTTGAGAAATAACTGTGTATCTTTTTGGAGCACTGCACCAGTGACTATAAACTCCAGAAAGTCATGACTGAGGCCAGAATAGAAACTGGATTCAATTTTGTTGTGATTAAACATAATCCAAATTAAATGTAGTTGATCTGATTACGTTCCAGTCATATGCTTAATCATTTCCCCTCCTGTCACATTAACAGTTACAATTGGGTAAAAACATATGGAGGTCTCTGGTGGTTATAATAAAGGGAGGGGGTACCAGCTGGACATCTCTGCACTAAGAAAACAGCTGGAATCTTCCTTTTTCTTTTTTCACTCTACATTGATAATTGTAATAAACATGTAAGTGTGCTTAATCAGACTTCTTGTGCAACTCTCTTAATTAGACAAATTCATGGAAGGCACTTATGTTTCAATATTGATAAATAATGGCTTAATGTTAAGTCTGAATGTGGCCTTTATCTCAGAAAGACCTAATACAGTTAGTTCTATTAAAAGGATTTTCTAGGCTTAGGAGGGGTGACCACTGACTAACAGTTGCTGAGATAGAAGTTGTACGATCATCGTACTCCCACCTGTGGTTTGCAAGTTGGCTAGTAGGGGTAACAATGTAGTGTTTTAATTGGACCATAGGTCTAATTTGGGCAGTGAGATATTTTTGATGATTTCAATGCTAGCTTCAGGCAAGTGACCTGCCAATGATGGTTTATCTCCCCACCACTTAACCATTTTTGCAGTTCAAGGTTTCATTAAGCCCCTGGTGCGCATGGATGGTGAACTGTGGTTGGTTGGCTTGATGGGTCAAAAGGCGGCCAGGCCTGTTGCGGTGTGAAGTTGTGATCTT